TAGTCCCAGCTGGTCTGGAACTCACTATGTAGACCAGGCTGGCCTCGATCTCACAGAGATCCATCTGCCTCTGCCTCCCGAATGCTGGGATTAAAGGTGTGTGCCACCATGCCTGGCATTTATTTTTAAAGAGGGGGAAATGAAAGCAAAGGTTAAATTTTTATTTGATCAATTTTGCAACAAATATTTACTGAAGAACAGTTTTGTGGCAGGCTCTGTTTTAGGCACATGAACAAAATTGTCAAATACCTTACAATTATGGAGATCCAGTTCTAAAACAGAGATAAATGCTGAACGAACACATGAGTGAAGTTCATGGCATGGGAGATGCCTCTTTCCTTCCTCAGGGACATCCTCAGCTTCTCATTTGCAGAAGGCTGCCTGGTCACCTGTGACCTGTCTCTGTGTCCCTCCGGTGGCTATACCTGGAGCCTGCAACAGCTACTGCCAGGAGCAGAGAACATGCTTCATGATACAGGGAACTGACAGTGTCTCACTCTGCTGGCTCTTTCAGGAGAGTATTTAATAGTTTCTTCCCTAGAGGAGCTTAGAGCTACAAAAATATATCAGTAATTAATCATATTACAAGGGAGTGTGTGGTCTAATGTGATTCTCAGAGCTGTACCATTACCTGGGAATTTGTTAGAATTCCAGATTCTCAGGCTCTACTCCTAAGCCAGAGTCTGCATTTTAACAAGATCCCTAGGTGTTTGTTGGTATGTTAAAGTTTGAGAGGCAATCTATAAAGCACATAGGTCAACATACTGTGGGAATGAAATAAAAAGAGCAACTAGGTCTACCTGGTGAGGCAGAGAAGGATGTCCAGAGAGGGTAACATTTACTTGAGTTGAGAAGAAGAAAAGGGCAGAGGTGGAAGTGGGCAGGAGTGAACGATAGGCAACGTGCGGCTCAGGCAGGGATGTAGATGCTTCAGGCGGAGGCAGTGCTGTGTGCAGACGCAGAGGGCGAAAGAGCCTGGGTTACCCAGGGAACAGATTTGGAAGAATGTGGAGGGAGGGGGACAGCTGGCAGATGCAAGAGCCAGGCTGAAGAGGTTGCAAGTGCCTGCCCACACCCCAGGCTGGTTTCATTTTCTATGGTTGTGACAAGATGTCTGAGACGAGGAATTTGTAAAGAAAAGGAATTTATTTCCTCACAGCTGTGGCGACTGACTAGTCCAAGACTAATGGCGTTGGCTGAGGGCTCCTTTGCTATGCTATAACATGGCAGAAGGCTTTCTACAGATGAGAGAGGGAAGGGGGCTAAGTTCATCCTTTTAGAAAGAACCCACTCCCACGCCCACTCCCACAATAATGGTATCACCACAGTCAGGATGATTCTTAAAGGTTCTCCCTCTCAACAATGGTGCATGGGGTATTAAGTTTCTAACACAGGAACTTTGAAGGACACCTTCAGATCATAGCACCAGGGATACATATTGGAATCTTTCCCCTCCCTCCCTCCCTCCTTCCCTTCCTCTTTCATTCTTTCTTCAAAAGAAACCTTTTTCCTTTCTCTTATAAACAATATTTATGCAAATGGAAATTTAAAGAAGTAGAAACACTATTCTTTCTTTCCCTATAAAATTATATACATTTAAGATGCAGTGAATATATCTATATATG